CGCCCCGAGGCAGCGCGACGGGAGAATGCAGCAGGAGGAGATGGGGACCGGCGACAAGGTAATGCCTCCGGTAGGGAAACGGACAAGCAACCCCCCACACGCACACCGCCGCCACCGGGGGTTGCCGTGTCCCGCCGGGGACAGCCCCGCGGTACCGCTTCGCCGCCGTTTGCGGCGTGAAACCGCCGTAATCTCAACGACGGCGTCGGGTGGCGGTAACCGGGGGCCTTTCCCCCGCGCTTTAATCGCTATCCTTAACAAAATCCCCTGAAACTGCACCTAACGACCCTTGTCACCAGCGGGACTTCTTCCTGGGCCCCCCTTTTTTTTTTCCCCCTTTAATCGCCGGTGTTTCAGTCATTTTTTATAGCTTTTCCGTACAGATTAACATTGGCTGTATTTTCCCTGGAGGGAGAGGAACGCAGAGTTACCTGAGGCAGACGGTGGGCGCTGGGATTAAGCTGACGGCACAGCCGGAGAAACGGTTTCAGGGCCGGGGGTTCCCCGGTTCCCAGTTGGACTGCGACCTTTGGCTTCGCGCTACCCGAAAAATGCCATCGGTCTTGATACCACTTTGACTGTTATCAGCGAACGGATTAGAGCGCTGCTGGGTTTTAACATCCCGGTCTGTCTTTTTTCTTGGTGCGTAGGAAAATCATTCCTCTGAGCCGTGCAGAAGCGTTTTGAAAACCCCTTTGAAACAAGCAGCTACCTCGCATTCGGTGTTGACGGAGATACAGCCGGACCGTCAGCCTCTAACCACCCCCCCAAAACCTAAAGAAATCCTTCCAGCAGATCCATGGACCCCTACTTCGAACCTTAAAATGCTGATTAGCGCCGCTAGTCCGGAGATTAGGAGCAGGGAACAGAGAAGGGAGCTGTCAAACGACGTAAGCGAGGTCCTACAGGCAAAACACTGTTTGCAGGTATGTTGTAAAGGTGTCTTCTTTATTTACTTTTTTTAAACTTAGCTGCAGGCTGTTTATTCAGTATAAAAAGTTATACGTTAACATACTACAACTATTTTAAAGTTTTGGAGTATTGTCCAGATGTCCGTAAGGATATTGCCTAATTACATACAACCGGTAACGTTTTGCTGGGTTTATTTCACAGCTGTTGAGGACAAAGGGAGAACGCTGGTCCTTTGACACTGCTCACGATAAAGCTGTTAAATATCTACGTTTATGTATTTATTGTAAAAAAAAATTCCAATTCTCCTTTTCTTCTTTCCACGTAGGAGCACTTATCGGGAGACGAATATGAAAAATCTCAACCAAGTCGCAAAGAGAAAAGTCTAGGATTACTGTGTCATAAATTCTTAGCTCGGTATCCTGATTACCCCAGCACTGAGGAGAATAACTACATTTGCCTTGATGAAGTAGCTGAAGAGCTTAGTAAGTCGGCATATGTGCTATGATACATTTCTTCAGACAAAGGTGCCAATAACCTACCGTTTCTGTTAGCACATTTGTGCTCCGTAAAATTTGGAATGCTTACTGTGTACTCCCAAACTTATTTAAACCCAGCTTTAAACTCTTCATTCTTAGAGCAATTTTTGAAAAAGCTAAAGCTTTTTCAGTGAACTGAATTGAGAAACTCTGAATGATGTTTAATATCCAACATCTAAATTACTGCCGATACGTCAAATAACCATTTGGAGCTTTTTTGGATCTAGAGATGATAGCTAAGATTAGTGGTTGGATTTTTGCGGCAGGAACTAGTGTTTCTCGCTGAACCCACCGCTTCCTGTCCAATTATGACTTCAAAGCAAGAAACTACTTTCTGCTCTCTGATAATTTAACTTTCTCATTTTACATCACTATTTTTATATCACACCAATAATCACTCCCGAAAGTCTGAGTTGCTGACATTAAGCTGAAGCTTTTTTTAATCAAAAAGCTATGAAATTACAGTATTCTACATCTTATAACACTGATAATAGTTACAAACCGTACTGCTGTAACATTTTTGGTGTCATACCTTCAGAATACTTTGGGGGACACGGAAGAGGGATGAATTGCAAATTAAAATTGTCTATTTTATTTATTCTGTGTACAAAATAACATGTCTTTTAGAACATGCCTAGTCAAACCCAAGAATTTAACAGACAAAAGAGAAATGGACAGTGTGTTAATAGAATAACATATATAAACAAGTTACAAAACAGTTGTCTACCGTGAGTTTCCACGGATATTTAATGACACAATCTGAAATCGATGCAATGAATAATTGAAAATGATTTGGGTTTTTTTTAAAAGCTGTATTGAAACCCATCGAATGGCTCTTCTGGCAAGAGTAAGTTTTATTTCTTAAGGAATGCTGTAAACAAAGTATAACTGTGGAAAAGCAAGTCCTTCCATTCCAGAGCAGGAATTGTTTTCTTTTCCTTGCTGGCGAGACCTGTGAGGGCTATTTTCAGAAACCTTTGTAAGGAGGAATTGGCAAAAGCGGCTCAAAAGTATGTTAAGAGGAGGGAGAAGTACAGGAAACTGATCCCTTCTCTGTGCAAACCACATTTCAGGTAAATCTATGACGAAATACAATTTATGTAGTAGAGATGTCATGTTCGTCTGGCTTTTTTTTTTTTTTCAGATGTTGAACGTAGACGGATATATGATATTGTGAACGTGCTAGAGAGCCTACACATGGTGAGCCGCCTTGCCAAAAACAGATATGCTTGGCATGGGCGACATAATCTCTCCAAAACCCTGCAGGCTTTGAAAAAAGTTGGAGAAGAGAACAAATATACACAGCAAATTCAGATGATCAAGAAAAGAGAATATGAGCACGAATTCGATTTTGATGGTGAAAGAAATGAAGAAACGGCGAGAACTTTTGGCTCAAATGAGCATTCCGAAATGTCTTTTGTCGAGCTCCCAGGAATGGAATTTCGTGCTGGTAATAATTCTGTATAACGCCAAAAATAATATGTGCTCGTAATGATAAATATCTATGAACTTGCAAAAACATTTATTGGACGCTTTTTTTTTTTTTTTTCTGAAATGCTACTGCCTGAAAGGTACCACAGCTGTTTGTGGTGAGAAAAAGTGCTCTATTTTTCACTCTTTCAGTTCTCTTATTGGTTCAATTCTTGCATACGTATTTTGTTTTCACAGTGCAAGACCCAGGGGGCACTAGGTGAAACTATGAAACATACCCTGCATACAATCCAATTTGCAGGATTTGTTACCATTGAATGTTATAGAACCCAAAAGTATAAATTACTCCATTCATTTGTTCTAAAAAGAACAAATTTAGGTTTGATTCATGGAAAAAATGTTAATTAAGGATTGTTAAATAATTGTATAACCTGCTGTTAAGCATCTTTAAAAGTACAAGTTGTCAGACCGTAGGAAACGTATACAGGGAAACCATCGCACTCTCCCCTTTGTAGTTAGGTTTGGTATCCACCTAATTACCTGATTCTTGCCATGTAGAAACATGATTCTGGAGTCCACATCGGCCCTGCCTAGTTCCTGTCTTGTTTGTTCTTATAATAATTGTTAGTAACAAATTTCTTCAGTGTTTTAAAAACGTTTGCAGCTGGCGTGTCACTTAATACTTTAATCCTTTCTCCTGTCTGCTGCAGCATCAGTAAATAGCAGGAAAGACAAGTCTTTACGAGTGATGAGTCAGAAATTTGTGATGCTGTTCCTTGTATCGACTCCTCAAATAGTAAGCCTTGAAGTTGCTGCTAAAATCTTGATTGGAGAAGACCAGTTAGAAGACTTAGATAAAAGCAAGTTTAAAAGTAAGTAAGATGCTGCTGTTGCTGTCTGCTTTTTGATCTTACTCTAAATAGAAATATCAAGTGTAAACTAAATGGACTATTCTAGTACAAGCTTAGGTACTGTAAAATACCATCGTCTTTCTCCTGCCGTAAATAGATCTGGCCCTCCAAAAACTCACTAAACATCTTGCGCAGTTTTTAATAGGGACCCGCTTGTGCATAGTCATTGATCCATAACGACCACATAAGAGAAAAAGTCAATTAAATCTTCTCTCCTGATTGCTTACTGGTCACAATGTCTCTTTCCTCAAGCGGTCTGTCAAACATCTCGGCATCATTTCATCAAATGTGCCCCAGAATCATGCAAATCTGTGTTCTGGTCATATAACTTACTTGTTGGAAGTCTAAAGAAATTCTGTAAAAGTCCCGTTAATGACTTACACGTGAGAGGAAGTGAAACCCAACGCTGTAACTGCCAATTATTTCTTCATTCTTTTACCCTGCTCTCAGTTCCCTGCACACTTCCTCCTCTTCCTCTCCATTCAAATAAAAAAGGTACTTCGAGGTCTAGGCACGTATGTCTAGAATAATCAAAAATGTGCCTGCTTTTGAGGGATCAAGAATTAATTGTGGGTTTCATTGAAAATTACACCCTTCCTTGAGTCTCAGACAGACTCCATTGCTTTTTTTTTTTTTTTTTTGGTGGAAATATATGTATGCAAAACGAAAACTGATCCTTGCTGGTTTCAGTTTGTAATTTCCTTTCCACTGCATCATGGCAACAGAGAGAGGGTGGGTGGGTAGTCAATAGGGAGGTTTTGTTTGCTTTCATTCTTTCTTCTTCCTCCATAAGGTCTGTCTTATAAGTGCATTTTCACCATAAGGTCTGTCTCAATAAGTGCATTTTCAGGGTGTTCCGTCCCTGTGTCTGTATTTCAGGTATCACGCGTTTTACCGTGTTCTTGGTTGAGAAGCATAGCCCCTAGTTCCACGACTTGCTAGACTGTAAATTTTCGGTAGCAGCAGCTTTGGCAGAAGTCACTTTGACTGCTGCCTAAAACTTTTCCCTAATACCTCAACCTGAAACCAGTTAAAAACACGCAGGATGATCATCCTGTTGGATTTCAATGTGTCTCTTCCCCCTAGTTCCCATGTTCGCCGCTGCACACGTGTACCTGCCTTTTAAGCTACTTATTTTCACTACAGAATTTGCATAGGTTTGGTCACTGCACGGAACCTAACTTGTATTGAAAATGTTTTTTTCTATATTTAGCATAATATACTTAGCAGTGTTTTCTTTTCTAGCTCTGTATCAATGTAATTCTATTTTACATAAAAAATTTATGTTGTGATCTGTTATTTCATAGTATAAATACCTGTTCCACAAAGTTGTTCTTGTAAAAAAAATTATAAAGGTTTTTCCTTTTAGCTGCTAAAAGGGCATTATAACATTTTTAATGTGATATATGTTAACTCGTTGATGGGAATTGCTATACTTTACGTGTGTTTATTTTATTGCAGCCAAAATTAGGAGACTTTATGACATAGCAAATGTTCTCAGTAGCCTTGAGCTTATCAAGAAAGTTCACGTTACAGAGGAGAGAGGTAGAAAACCAGCATTCAAGTGGACAGGACCTGAGGTCTTGCCAAATATTCAGGGTAGGTGTATGTGTCATTTCCTTTTGTTCTGCTGATGATTTGATTGTTTCTTTGTTTTCTCTGCTAGATTTTTTTTGGGGCCAAAAGACAGAGTAAACTAAGCAGTTTGCATGACCGCGCAGCACAGCAGTATGTTATTTCCACAGAGTCGCTGTACTCATACTGATACTCTTGCATTTCCATTTTTGCTGCTGCTTGTACTTCAATACTTACAAGCCGGGCTCAAAGAACTGCTTTTAATTACTGAATCTGCATATGATACGTATTTACTCTCTGGGTTTTTTTTCTGCTTTTTAGATACAAAACTTGAAACAACTTCTACGACCTGTCCCACACCTATTTCAGAATCCATCCCTTCCAAAGAGCAGTGTTCAAAAAACCTTTTCCCTTCAAGAGGAAAGCAAAACTTCACTCGGCATCCATCTCTAATAAAGTTAGTTAAAACTATAGAAAATGACAGAAGAAAGATCCAGTCTGCTCCAACCAGTCCAGTTAAAATATGTGCAAGTACGTATCTTTTTCTAAGTTTGTTTTTAACTCAAATGTAGTCTTGAATTAAATATTCGGGTTTGCCATCTTCTCATAGGAGATACGGATGCGTAGGTATGCCTGCTTACAACAAACACATCTTAAGAACTGTCAAAAATAGACAAGATTGGGAAAATATACGTTGCCTATAAATCTGAGGCCTTACAAGACTGGTAGAATTATAGAGTCATTTTGGTTGGAAGAGACCTTTAAGATCATGAAGTCCAACCGTTAATCCAGCACTGCCAAATTGCCACTAAACCCACATCCCTCAGCACCACGTCTGCCCGTCTTTTAAATACCTCCAGAGACGGTGACTCCACCACTTCCCTGGGCAGTCTGTGCCAGTGCTTGACAACCCTTTCAGTGGAGAAATTTTTCACAGTATCCAACCTAAACCTCCCCTAGCGCAACGTGCTGAGGCCATTTCCTCATCTCCTATCACTTGTTACTTGGGAGAAGAGACCAATCCCACCACTCTACACCCTCCTTTCAGGTAGTTCTAGGGAGCGAGAAGGTCTCCCCTCAGACTCCTTTTCTCCAGGCTGAACACCCCCAGTTCCCTCAGCCGCTCCTCATCAGACGTGTGCTCCAGACCCCTCACCAGCTCCGTTGCCCTTCTCTGGACACGCTGCAGCACCTCAATGTCTTCCTTGTAGTGAGGGGCCCGAAACTGAACACAGCACTTGAGGTGGGGCCTCACCAGTGCCGAGTACAGGGAACAGTCACTGCCCTGGTCCTGCTGGCCAAACTATTCCTAATAGAGGCCAGGATGCTGTTGGTCTTCTAGGCCACCTGGGCACACTGCTGTTTAACCGGCTGTCGACCAACACCCCCAGGTCCTTTTCCTCGGGGCAGCTTTCCAGCCGCTCTGCCCCACGCCTGTAGCGCTGCATGGGGTTGCTGTGATCCATGTGCAGGACCCGGCACTTGGCCTTCTTGAACCTCACACCATTGGCCTCGGCCCATCGGTCCAACCTATCCAGATCCCTCTACAGAACCTTCCTACCCTCAGGCAGATCAACACTCCCACCCAACTTGGTGTCGTGATAGTGAAAACAAAGCTAAACTGATCCATGTTCAGTGCATCAGCGCTGCAGTTAGTAGAAGCTCTTTCCAGTTTGATGGACCAAATCCAGTCACAGCTTGCACTGTTGCAGCGAAGTAAATATATTCATTGAGATCTGGACCAAACTGAGCACACTGTAGGGAACTCCAGCCTCCTCTTCCACGCCAAGTACACAAGGAGCAGCATATTACTGTTTCGGGTTTAAGAATAATATTAAATCCCATTCTACATACCACTATCTTGACTTTGTGTGATGTCTTAGTGACTACAAACCTCCTGTCTGTGTAGTATAGCTGATTCTCCAGATATTGTATGTTGCTCTATGAACTGCTCTAACTCTGGTTTGTTGTGGAAACTGTGCTTTCGATCTTACTGTCTAAGCAGTTCTGTATTCCATAAAATTGCCAGAAAATTACCTCTCAGTGTTCACGTTCTTGTTAGGTATCCTCTGCGGAGGGAGGAAAAAAAATGGAGCTGAGGCTTTAAAATTTGGTTGACGTAAGCTCCCATCCAGTTGATCAAATCAGGTGTGGGCTGCAGGCTGAGCATAATATGGAATCTTAGTGTCTTCTCATTAAATGTGCACACCACATTAAATAGCGCAGTCTCCTCAAGCCAAAATTTAACTTTTATGTTTGATGCGCTAACAGTTTTGTTTCGTTTTCCCCCTCCAACCAGGTACTGATCAAAATTTATCAGCTTTCCCAAGTAAAATGGCTCAGGTTCCAGCAGTCGCTAAACATCAGCTGGAAGGACAATCAAAGTAAGTTTGCACAATTATTAAAGTGAGAAGCTTTATTTTGTCTCTGGCTGTTAAGTTAAAGCTATGCTCAGTTTAAGTTTGGCAAGTTTGCAAAAAACAGTAACCCCTGATACTGGCAGGCTATTTTTTTCACTTATTTTCTGTTTAGTGGATTGAGAAGTACAAGTTCCTGTTAAGTCTTTGTATTGCAGAAAATACAAATACAAATGTCAGGGCATTCATGTCTGCAGGAAGGTATTAAAATATTTTTGGTCTTTGTTTGTTTTGTGTTGTTTTTTTTTTTCAAGGAAAGCAAAAGAGATGAAAATGAAATTGTCAGGATCTGCTTTGGAATGTAATTTGTCCTCGCCTGAGGTAGTCCTCAAGCCCGAACCCTCGCAGCAGCCGGCTCTCACACAGCCCCCGGGTGTCTGTCCCCCGAGCCACAGCTCCGTCTCACCAGTAATACTACCTCATCCTCATTCGGCTCTTTCGTATGCCATTTATCTGCATCCTTCCCAAGCCCACACTGTGACAACGTACAGCCCAAGTTTCATGTTGCAGCCTCTACCGCGTGCTAACGTAACTGGAATTAAGAGTATTAACTCAAAAGTAGTAAATAAAACAACCGCTGAGGAAGGAGACAATCAGATAGCTACAGATGATCCAACAAAGTCCCTGACAGCTAAAGAAAGACCGACTATAAAATCAGAAACATCGTCACAGCGGTGCCTTAAAAGACCACAAGCATTACAAGAGAGTAATTTAATTAAAAGGTATAGAAGTGACAAGGAAAGCCTTGATACTTCGCTGGTGAGTTAAATTATTTTTAAAATGCCATTTTATAGCTTAATGATGTTGCCACCTACTCGTTTTCTAAGTGGTTTAGGAGCCTACCAGCGTGTGTAGGCGTTTTAAATAACAATATGCTTGAAGGGATGATGTTCCTTTGTTGTGCTTTCTGATGGTTGGGGGCTGTTTACACACGTCTCTCTCTCTCTCTCAAATACCACCTAATCTTACTGGTATTTGCAAAGCATCAGGCAGAATATACAATACGCAATATAACACCTGTCTTCTAACAGCCAACCCAGGATCAGGCTGTATTTTTCTCCTTGTTCCTCTCTCTTCCCCCACCAAATATTTATTTCTAAGCAGAGGTGTCAAAGCCTACAGACTTTAGTCAAAATAAAACAACTCCCAAAACATTATGTCAAGATCTACTTACATAATGATTCTGGAGTAGTTCAGGTTCTTCATCTTGCTGGCATTCATTCTTGGCTGAAAGGTGTTAGGAGGAAAAGTGGACGCAGAAATGTCCCAAAATCCTGATACCTTCTAAATATTCCTATCCAGCGTTGCGCACTGCTAATGTTGGGTTGTTGTAGACATAATAATGCAGCACGTGAAGAGAAATCAGAGGTTCAGATACACTTGATGCGTATGGAGAAACTGGGTCTGGATTTCTTTCTGCTCCTCAGTTGCTGAATGTTTTAGTGTCTCTAAATTATTAGGCGGCTTTAAATTCTGCTTGCCAAAACGGTCGTGAAATGTTATCAGCGTGTTGTGACAACATGTGGTGTCAAACATGCACTCGCTGTGATGAAGCAAGAGGGGATAACACGGATCTGGTTGTACCTTATTGACTAGAAACTTCTATAGCACAAACTTGGGAAGTAGGAGAAAGGAGAAAACTTGCTTTCCGAATTTTTAAAATGTATAACTACCATTGCAGACCTGTAATTGAGAATGTTGAATCTTACAGTGTCTGCCTTTGGTTTTGTATGTACTTTTTTTTTAAAGGGAGAATCCATTAAAAATGAAAGACCACCTTCCAATAGCTCACAAATGAACCACGAAATGGACAATTTCCAGGAAGAGAAACAGAACAAAACTGAAACATTAGATCAAAACATGACAAGGTGCTATGACCAATGTAAAAGAGAAGATATTCCAGAAGATGAG